AAATTCCATTTCAGATGAAAGTAGAATTTGACAAGAGATCATAATCCTACTATCCTCTTGACCTTAATAAACCACCTACACCCTTCATGGCTGGAACAAGGAAAGCAAAGCATGCCCTTTAGCGGAAAATCCAAGGTTGACTCTGTGGCTATACAAATGGTCTTGTGGGTAGTTAGCATTGTTATATCCAAATGCATCATTGGTCTCCCAAAAAAAGCAAACAGTTGATAATACTATCTGGGGACTATACACTTTTTAGGCCCCATCTATTCCATCTCTCAAGCCCCAGAGAAAACCCCCCTCTCCATTGGAGTCCATATATCTTTTGACTCTATATGTGTGGGCAGTGGATATCTATGAGGGTTCACCCACCTCTGTTACAGCATTCCTTCTATTGCACGTAAAATCTACTGCATCTCAAATAAGCGCTCAATTTTTTTGGCGATTTACTTCTAGAAAACAGAGGTTAATACGTCAGTATTTCTTAGATGACGAGCATCAACATAAGCTCACTTTACCCTTTCACCGTTACAAAGAAACCTTCTTATTTGCCTTCGTCAGTTGTCTTAATTTGCCGTGCTATTTCTTTGTCAGATGCCAACCCAAATAAAATTTGAAAGCAAGTAACGAGTAACACCAAACAAACACCACCAATCCAAGGATTGCTCTTCGTACAGCTTGGGGCAAAGTAATTCTTCTCCTCAGATTGAAGGGTTTTCATTAAACGCAAAAGGACTCAACTTTCCTGTTTCAAGGCCAAACGGAGATGCTGATTGACCACTATTCCAGTAAGAAAGAAATTGAGAATTTCTAGTCTCTTCCACCTTTTTTACATTAGGGGGTGGGGAGTAGAATAAAAAGTTATTCCGTGGCCTCACCCTTTTTCTCTTCGCACTAAGCAAAGGTAGGACCAAAATTAATGTTCACCACCACAACTAGCTCAGGGTGAATATGGAAAATAGTCTAAAAGCCTCATCCCAAGTCAGGCGAAGAGTTATAAGAAAAATCACACCTTGGAAAACAGATTTAATCCTAGAGACACTTCTCATAAGGCCTTGAGCTCATGCAAAGCACGCCAAATCCTTATTTTAGTTTGAATTCCCACAAAAGCAAAAGATAGCCATATGTGATCCTGAGCTGGATATTATCCCGCACCAAGCATAGGATCGTCTAACAACACTTAAAGATTCAAATTCCAGGTCAAAAGAATGAGAAGGGATCATTCAAACCACACTCTCCATGTTACGGATTCGATTAACATAATCTCCGACAGCGAAATTCTCCAGAAATCCACCCAACTCTAAGTAGGCAATGAAATTAATCAAGCTTCTGTCAGATTGACCAGTTCATGAAGAAATTTTGATCTACACACTCGGACTGTAGTCACATGCCTGAAGATTGTTCAGATATATGCCTTTAAGTTCATCCATTGCCTGAATCCGCAAGGGACTGGAGTGATCGATGTTTTTTGTTCACTCGGCATGCCAGTCAATCAAGATAAGCATGTAGAAGTTACAATATCAACACTAAGAAAACATAGCAACTTCTTCTACATTCAGGAAGAAGGGGACATTAATCAAATAATGCAGTAATCATTCATAGTTAACAATTTAGAAGCACATAGAACAAGGAAAAGTTGTGGGGAGTCATTGATTGAGGCAAAAAAAAAAGAAGGGAGAGAAGAGTTTAGCACTGTGAAATGAACTATTTTTTCCATTTCAGGTGTTCTGGAGTACTAAAAACGGAAAAATACTGAAATAAAATGAAAATTTACCTGCATCTCTCGAAGCAAATGGCGCTCAATAGCATTGAAAGAATCAACAACTTCTAATTCCGACATTTTCAGGATCAACTTCTTCATATCTGCATTCATCCTCGCCTGTCGCCATAACCTCTGCTGCTCCAGTTCTGCAATAACACGCCTTCTCTGGAACCATGGCATAAAGTTGCGGCCCCTTAAGAAACATCTGGGAGAAAAAAAAGGTATTAGTCGATTGAAATCAGAAAAATTAAAGATGGGCATTGCTGCAACATAAAGTGAAAATCATGATAGGCTCAAAATCACCTATGGAACAAAGATTACCTATATAGGTCCAACCAGTTGGCTCTCATCCTTTTGGACAGAAACTTCCCAGGACCTCTTTCTGCCAAGCTCTTCAGGAAGTCATCGGCATGGAAAGGAGGGAGGACAGGCGGCTCCACGAAAGGGGAGCTTCCTTCTAAAGGCATGGTGGCCCTCAGATAGGGCCCAAAGGGAGCAAGGAAATTGGTGGTGAGCTCCAAGAAATGTCGTCGCAATATCTCATTATTCACAACAGACATGGATTCCTCAATCCTTGGGGACATGCCCGCATCGATAAGCCTGTTAAGAACTGATGTATCAGGCTTGGTTGTCGCAGAGTATGTGCTCCATATGGCTTCCTTGTGTTCCGTCATGAGAGAAAGGGGTCCATCCCTTCTGAGTTTCATAGCATTCAACAAGTTCGTGGGAGAGAATTTGTTCAGAGACAGTTGCTCGAGGTTCAGTTTACCAAATCTAGGGTTCTTCCCGGGCCCATTGGTGGAGGAGGGCCTTGCAGCAACTTGAAGGGATCTGCCGGAGTTGGGGCTTGGACTGCCCACTGAAACAATGTGGGGAATATTCTGAAGCGCTTTCAAGAAGAAGAGATTGGTCACACCGAGGACCATGGGAGGGAAGGCATCGCCTTCCCGAAGTGAATTGAGGGCAGCGAAGTCGGGATCATGAATGGTGAAGTATGGCCGGTAGTCTATGCTACAGAGGAGCGGCGCCACCAGGCTGACGAGCCCGGCAACTGCCTCTGAGCACTGGGGCGGAGTGGGCGCTATCACGAGGAGAGGCTCCCCAATAATTAGGAGCTCCCATAGCACCCAGAGCTGCAAGAGAATTCCTCGAAATATCCCAAAGAGGTCTGCGTCATGGAAGAGCCCCTGAGGAATTGAAGGGTTCGCGGGGGGGAAAGGAGCCATGGCTGCTGAAAGCGCCAGTTCATCGCCATCACAGCGGTCGCCGTCCCCATCGCCATTCGCCGGGAAACTGAGCAGGGGGGGAAGGTGAACCTTGAGGACGGCGCTCCCAATTGGGAGCTCCATCAGTTTTCCGGGTATTGGGGACGGCCAAGAGGCGACGTGGGCGGCGACAAGCTCAAGAGCCCTCTTCCCAATGTCGAAGCAGAGCGGCCCCAGGATCTGGAGCAGAGGGCGGAAGACGCTGGAATAGGGGCGAGGCGAGAGGATGACCACGGACTTCTGCTCGCCTCCGCGCTTGAGCCGCTCGTCCTGCCTCTGTCGGTTGAAGACGTACCCGTACAAGAAGCCGCCGGAGGTCGACGCCGACGCGGAGCGAATGCGGAAGAAGAAGATGGAGTCGTGGATGCTGGACCGGCTCCGGTGCTGGTGGTGAGACATGGAATCGGGGAAGGAGCTGAATGCGACGCAGAGCTCATCGGACGGAGGGAGATCCCCCGGTGGGTAGCACTCCTCCACCACCTGCCCCTGCTCCAGGTCGAACCTGATGACGCAGAAGGCCAGCACCCACCGCCGCAGGGCGTCCCCATCCGGCTCCCCCACGGGGGATCCCTCCGCAGCCGCCGACGCGGCCGTGGATCCCTGTGGGTGGTGCTTCATGGAGAACGACGCGGTTAGGCTCATCCAGACTCCGGCGCTTCCTCCCCAATCTCAGCTACAGCGACGCCGCCGGGGCTTCCTCCGCCTCATCACTTCCCCGTCGACCCGCGAGACCCCAAGGCCGGGCCTGGAGGAGACGCAGTTGTTCGTGAGATCTACTTCTTCATCCTCTCCCCCATCCACCACGGCGAGGCGCGCCACCGCCACCGCAGTCCCTCTCCCTCTCTCTCTGCGCTGGGCCCTGTAATCCTCAATTAAAGAATTCAACTTGACACCCCTACGATCCCCAACTCCACACGATCTTCTCCTCTATAAATTCCGTGTTCATCGCCTCTCCAATCAACACCAGGCCAAGAACCTGGAGAACAAATCATTTCTTCCTGAAAATCATAGAAAATAAATGCCCTGAATCGTCAGGGTACGTGAAATTTATCACGTATAGTTAAATAATTCTCGAGCTAATAGTAAAATAAATGTAACCATATCAGTTGGGCTAATGATTTTTCTAAGCTCCTTGGAAAAAAAACCATTTTCCTCCAGAATTTGTATAAAAGTAAGTACAATATATTTGTATAGTGTAATCATAAATATTAAGTCAAATACATATGATATTGGTCAACAATTAAACTTCCCTTGACGAATGAGTATGAGAGAATAGATAGTAAGTTTTATTTATATACACATTAGTAAGTCCGTGGGATTGACTTATGATATTTGAAGTGCATTCATCAAATAGCAAGATAGTCAGTCACCTGGGCTTTTATTTTTCTTCTCAACGTTGGTGATTCAACCTCTTGGGTTCGACCCAGCTGAAACTTGGGCCTAAGATTGACTTTGCAAAGTTATGGAAATCTGGGTGACATCAAATGACCTCCATGGGAACATGGAGTAGGTTGACTTTTGTTTCCGCTTTTCTTCCGAAGTGATTTTGAAAATATATGTGTTGTTCCCGAACAATTTGACTTCAGTTGCCTGGGCGACACTCCACTGATGAGAACATTCAAGTCTCGTTGATTTATTGGCTTTTCCTCCACAGTTATTTGAGTTTTTCCAGAGTGGGGAACATGGGGAAAGGACACTAAGGGTAAACCACCACAGAAACGGAGGACGCCGCGGCGGCGGCGGCGGCGGCGGCGGCGGCAGCGGCAGCGGAGGAGCCGGCGGGGACTGGGAAGAAGAAAGGATAGATCTCGTAGCGGACGTAGCAGCTGCTGTAGAGAGCCCGGCATCCCTTCCTGTGCGGGCAGAGGACGGGGAAGTTGGCCACCGCAATGGAGATGCATTGGGCGCAGGCCAGCGGCGGCAGATCCTGCGTGCACTGCGCCAGCGCGTAGATGGTGACGAAGGGTGTGAACTTGGTCTGAAGCTTCGCCAGCCCCCGGCTGCCCCGTGCCGGCGCCTGCGTCTGAATCTTGCTCATCAGCGACCCCAGCTCCCGGTCGAACCTGCGCTGCTCCGCCGCATCCTCCGTCACGTTCTGTACGTTGATGTAGAAGAGTCCATACGCGGTATCAAGCTCGCCGGCGAAGGGTCTGGTGCCATAGCGCAGGAAGCAGTAGTCAAACCACACCCTGGCGTCGGCCCCGCCGCGGCAGAGTTTGGGTAGCTGGGCGGCGGAGTCCCTGAGGCAGGTTCTGCAGTCCTCGACGCTGACGTCCTGTCGACACTGGGCGAGACCGTATGCTCGGTCCCCGTGGCCGCTGCCGTAGGAGGCGGTGGAGAAGCCCTTGGAGGGAGTCTCCGACAGGAGTGAGGCCAGGACGCGAGCTATGTTCGCGGAGGCGGCCCGGGTGATCTTCCTGTCGGTGCCGCAGTATTTTGTGAGGGGAACTGCTGCGTCGCATCGTGGGTGAACGGCGAGGAAGAGGAGAAGGAAGAGGGAGAGGATTGGAAGCGGCGGCGAATGCATTGTTCTACTTTTTCGCTTGCTGGTATCGGTGAGATCTCCGGTCCACTGCCGTCGCTTGCTGATATCGGTCAACATATATCGACGTAGCGCCGCCGTCCCTGACTTATCTGAATGGCGGAGAATGCGTCCAAGAAGCACTTTCCTCTTCCCCAGGGCAGAGAAACCTAACCAAGGCCAGAAGAAGGAGAAAACAGGCGGACCGGACTCCCTCTGTGTGGAGTATCTTGGAAGATACTGAAGGGGTCATAACTTCTCGATTTCTCAATCACTGAGGTCAGGTCCAAATCACATAGTCAAGAACTTGAGTACTTTTTTGCGACCATATCAGTGTATTTCCTATTTTAAAGAGATACCCCAGTAGCCCTATCTCTGTCAGGGTCAAACCTGGACTTGTACGACATCATACTTGGAGCCTGGAGTCAAAGCTTGAACGTATCTGACCCACTGACTGACCCAACTCCATAAACAGGCCACTAACCTGCAAGAAGGTATGCACAAGCCGGGATCCCCACATAAACATCAAGATTCTCTTTGTGCAAAGGTTGCAAAAGAGTAGACGAATATCCGATCACCAAGGTACGGAGCAAGAATGAAAGCTCCGCCCACATCAAGCAAGTTCTTCAAGGGTGCTCTGTCATACGCTCCATAGGAGCGAGCGGGGGAGAGAGAGAGAGAGAGAGAGAGAGAGAGTTGGGTGTCGTGAGAAACGGTCCACAATTGGATCGTTTCTCACGGGAACAGACGGCCTTTTTCAGCATGCCCATTTTTATCTTTTGGGGGACTCCAAGACTCGAGAACTGACTCCTTTATGATTCATAAAGTTGAGCTTATCTCTTCTCTATCTTTACCTCTCTCCTCTCTTATCTCTTAAAATCCCTCTCTCCCTTCTCTTCATATTCCTCCTTTTATTTTATATAGTATTAGACATTCCTTACACAACAACATACCATTCCATGGTAGTCCACCCAAATGTGATGATGTCTTTCCTTCCTTTGAGGTTGTTAGACGAAAACTATTTGTTATGGATAACTCAATTCATCCCTCTCCACAAGAGTCAGTGGTGACCTGTCCATAGTCAATGGCTCCATTCCATTACCTCTAAATGCTCATTGATGAGAAGGAAGTCAAATGGTCAAATTCAGACTTCAGTGCTCGGTAAATAATTGACCAAATAATTCTTTCATCATCTTTAACAAAGTCATTCCTCCCATTGATATTCAACTATCACACATCTAGAGATGTTTAGGATGGTTTAGCTATAGTTTTTACATTACCTCTAAATCTTGAATTTTGTTGTGCACTAAGGTGCATGTTGTATGCTGTAGGATGTTATCAATTCACGAGTATGTCCAGTCTATTAAAATAATAACTGTGGAGCTTGCTACGATGGCCAGGGTCTTGTTATATTAGTTCTAATAGAATTAGGACTACATCATGAGGTCTTAATTTCTATTATTACCACTCAAGTAAGTTCATTCACTCTAGAATATGATCTTAGGCATTTTGTTGTGCCAAAGATGATCATGACTTAACACAAAAAAGTTATTTCTTAGAAACTCATGAATATCCTTTGACCAAGGTCATTACTATAAGCCATAATAAGAGTGGCCATCATGGTGGGGGCATAGATGGTGGCATGTAGCATACATCATATTGCCAGATCTATCTTCATTTTGGACACTATAATTCTGAATATGCAGAATATTTCACCAATGAATTTGATGATTTTGCAACGTACATAGAAGTTACCTACTTGATTGCTTATGGTATTTTACTCACATCATCTGTGGTATCATCAACAAGCTACTCAACATCATGGTATATGGATAGTGACATTACTCACCACAACATCATGCCAAAATTATATCATTGTACTTGATTCTACAAGTTATATAAATTGTTACAAATTACATGATAGAAATAGTGAAGGTCTACCCATTCCTCTCTTATATTCACAATCATTAATTCTCCTTCATATTCTCTCTAATTATATTCCTCACACCACTCAGGATTTACTTTATTTCATAAATTTACAGTTGACAATAATATGTTTAAATTTCATCTGTCTAACTTGTGAATGATTGAATGTTGAGCCAAGTTCTTCTACATGGGTATTTTAAGGATGATCTCTACTATTTTCTTCCATTCTAGTTAGCACCGCTCACAATTGTTTGTGAATATGGATATCTTCCAATATGGTATGCTAGGTTATGTTAGAAAAAAATTCAAATAAAAATTACTATTATCAATAAGTTTCATTCGTCTATCACCAATCACTTGCTCAATTGACTCATAACTCGTTAATTTTCAAAAGTTCACAAATTATCATTTATCTAATTGTTTCCTACATCAAAAGCAACCTTTTAATTAATAAACTCTGATATGTTAGAACATGCTTCTATCACCTCTCCTTTTACAATTTTTATGCCATAATTTTTCTCAACAATTTTAGCAAATACTTTTGACATTTTCTTTTTAAGCACAAATATGATGTTTGCCATTCATCATCTCAATTAGATTGAAGGGGAATAATACAACTGAAATGATATTTAATGCAATATTAAAGTTTTGTGTCTACTAACACTAGAACAAAATACTATAGTAAAATAAAAATATCATTATATTGTTGAAACTATTCTCACTCTTCTATCTATATTCTCTAATGTCATTCTATCTAGCATGTTAAAAAATTTAGACTTATACTTTTTTTTTTTCTTGAGTTCAAAGTTTGCTATTCTCATGTTAGTTGTCCTTGATATTTTATTTGAAGATTCATAATATATTAAAAAAATATTTTTCTTTCAAGGTTGAGCTCAAATAAGATTTGTTGAGTTTATTATTTTCTCCACTTATTTTACTTACATGAGACTATCTAAAATGCATGGCATTAACCTTTGATCATTACTTTGAGGCTTACTGTTCTCTCATAAATTATGTGTGAAGCTTAGTTTAAAAATTTGTGATTCATCAATAGTTATCTTTGCTTCTGAGGTCGAGCTCAAATAAGGTCATTGAGCTTGTTTGTTATCCTTACGTATTTTGTTGATTTGTTACTATCCAGAATGTGTGGCATTGATTTTTGTTCATTTATGATTTTGAAACTCATTGTTCTTACATCTGCTGCACTTGAAAGGATCATTTTTGCTTTTAGGGTTGAGTCCAAAAAAAATTATTTGATATATCATTTTTTCCATGTATTTCACTAAAATTATTTATATTATCTATTGAGGATCATTTTCACTAGGGTGCTTCATTTCTACAATTGAGTAGGTTTTTAATTTGAATGATATCTTAGACATTGAAATTTTGATATTATTCATATCTCTCTAATCAACTTTCTTGTGTGTTGTTGCTAGGGTTTCAATTTTGAATCTTGCCAATGACTTAGTTTTTCTGTAATTTTCAACTATTTTGCCTATTGTGAGTTTCGTCCTTTTGTTGCTTAAGTTTTGAGTTTGAATCTTACACTTGACTTCATATACTTTGATCTCTCAAGTGTTTTTCTTGTTGAGACTTTCAACTTCCCCACTTAGATCATTATTTCAAATCTTGCAAGTGAGTTTGTATTTTTATGATTTTCTAAATACTTAGTCACATATGTAGACACTTTTTTTTTCTGAACTTCTGTTCAATTTATATGATGTTACATTATATTTAACATAAGCATATCTCAAGGATATAACTCTTTGAATTCATTGTTAGGTATAAGATTATTTGAGTATCATCAATATATTTTCGAACGCTTCTCTAAGATATTAGACTTGTAACATGTATTTATGAAATAAATTTATTACTAAAAAAATGTTCAATAAATTTTATGTAAATATTTTGTGAATAAATTTTTGCTTAGTAGCATCAAAATCAACGGCATCTTGCTTTTTGACACCTAAAATATTGATTCAATAAAATTTATTTACATGACAATCTATTCAACACAGATGAGAAATCAATTAAGTTCATCAATCGGTTCATCACATTTAATTTGCATCCATATAAATAAGTACCACTATGATGACACAAGGGTTCACAAAATTATAGTAGATACACACATTATCAATATGTGTGTATGTGAACATTCCAATATTAAATAAACAAACATTCAAAATAGTCATATGATATAATTAGATAATAAATAATAATCATTTGGTTATATATAATCCTCCCCCTAAACAAGTGCTCCCTCTAAGTCCATGCACTCATCCAGTTTTCACACCTTTTATCATTATTTTCTCCCCCTTTTGTAAATATCAAAAATAGATACATAAAAGAAGTTTAAGAGAACAATCAACTATGTAAATATTCTAGTCTGATGTGAGATCATGATAAAACTGATTTGAACTTCGAAATTGATTTTGAAATCATTCTTCAATTGCCTTAAGTTGCTACTCTATTTGTTCTATACTCTTGTTGAATTTTTCAATGATTGGTAGGATGTCAAGGAATGTAAGAGCATGAGAGAAATATGTTGAGGTAGAAAAAAAAGATGATGGAGCCACTAATCATCAACTTAAAGATAATCTATTAGGTGAATAGTAAATTTATCATTGAGATCATGAGGATAACTATTGATTGATTATTTGGCAGAGATGTCTACATTGAAGTATTGAAATATGTAAGTGGTGATGACACCAAGGGGAAGAGTGAGATCATACTTGAGGACTATCCTCATTTGATCCAAGAAGATAGAACCGAGGTCAAAGTTAATGCAATTAACTAGGTAATATAAGATTGACATGAATTTATCAAATATCATATCAAATGTATTACTTTTGTGCCATATGGCATGGCCGATGAGAAAATACATGACTCAGTAGGACAATGGAATACAAAATGTCTTAGTAGACATTCTACATGCCAACCAACTTTGACAAAAAAATATTTAAAATAATTCAGTCAATAGTGAGCGAAGGTCCAGAGGGTAAATCAAGGACTACATTTATAACTTTGAGGGTAGCACCAATTAGGATTCCTTTGACATAGGTAATGTTAGTAGGGTATTT